TTATTGAGATTAACCCGTTTTTATTATTAAACTACTATTACTATTTATTATTATGTGTATATATGTATATATATATATATATATATATATATATATATATTAACTTAATGACTGACTGAAAATATAAACAAATTATTTGCACTATAAACATTAAATATTTGGTTTATTTTATTTTTTTTGTTTTTTGGTAGTAGGTAGTATATATGGTAAAATTTTAGACAGTGTGTGTGTGTGTGTGTCCCCTAAAAAAAATCCTGGATACACCACTGGTGCAAGAGGATTACTGTTACTACTTGTCTTATTTATTGTTCTATTAAGTATAAACTCCATTAAATTTCAGATTGAATGTCATTAATCATAATCATAATGTGATCACTGAAAAACAGAAATTCAACAAATTTAATTTTTAATTATCAATATTAGAACAAATAATATTATATTAAAATATCATTTTTAATAGGAAATATAATTTATTTTTATTAACTTCATAATTTTTAATAATTTTTTAATTTCTAAAAATTTTTTTAAAAAACCCCAATATTTATCCTACTTATACTTTTCTACTATGGGTAGTAAGTACATCCTCACAGGACACTTGTATACAAAATATTTAAGTTAGGTACTTATTATCTATTTAATAACATTATTGAAATATAACAATAAGTGTGATAAAAAGTCTATTATCATAGTTTATGACAACTAGGCTTAAAGAATTTATTAAGTAAATTAAAGAATCTTTGAGTCTAAGATCATTTTTCCAATTCAAACCCCGTTAAAGCTTCAATTTATCTCCGAAATCATCTCAACTTAATAAACACCTGGACAACCAAGTGGAGAATTTTAAAAAATCCCGTTAAATCCTTCCATGTACCATTTACACTTCAAAAAAATAACCTTCCCTCATTTCAACTTCAAGGAGTTGAGATTCCTTCGACTCAAGTAAAATATTTAAGTATTTTACTAGACAAAAGACTAACCTGGGGGCTGGGACTCATATTTAAAGTCCTAACAAAAAATCCTTAACAACCGCCTTCATCTGTTTAGACCAATTCTCAAATTTAAACTTTCAATTCACACAAAATCCATGCTATATAAGTCTCTACTCAGACCCATTTGGAAGTACAATATACAAATCTGGGGATGCGCCAAACTATCCCAAGTCCGCACCATCCAAGCTTCCCAGACCCCAGTCCATCACTCTTCAGTCTTTAACTAATAGCTTCGGCCCCCTGGTAGATAACAAATGAAATCCTACATAAAGACTTAAAAATTGCAACAGTCGATCAACTAGCCAAATTATACTATGATAGATTTCACTTAAAGCTGCAACACCATCCCAATCCTTTAGTGTTCCACACTCCCACCTATAATCACGTACTATCCCTGGTGCCATGACCTATTAAAATAAGATTAATTAAAACATAATTACCAGAGGGACCATCACTGTATAATTTCCTTGTTGTTTTTAAAGTAGGTACATGTTTATGTCAGTCATTTTTTTTTTATTTATTGTGTTTCAAATACAAACTGTAAATTTTCAAGATAAAAATGAAAATTATTTTTAAAAAATGTGATTTACTTTTATTTTCAAATAAAAATATAATCAAGCAAATGATAAATATATATGGTATATTGCAGGGACGGCCAAACTTTTTTTCGGCCGCGATCAACTAAAAATATACTTCACTTTTAAGGATCGACTTCAATGAAAAAGCTTTTATTATTGTTAAGTTACTATACTACTATAATTAATTTTCGTATGCATAGCCTAAAAATAAATTCTAACACACGATCGACTGTTTAGCCACCTCTAGTATATTATATATGATATATTATGTATTGTTAAGAAGTTATTTATAAATTATAATGATTTGGTGGTAGTTGGTTTAAGACTCTTATTATAACTCTTACACATAGGCCCCCAAACATGAAGTTACATACTGAAATCATGCATTACACATAGATAATACACATGCGACCATGTTATCCATGTTATCTAAGCTTTTATTTATATGTATTTCAAATTCTTAGCAAATTTAAATAAGAATGCAGTCAGGAGACACCGAATGTGGCAATGTTTGGCTTAAATGATTGAATAAATAACCACAGACTACCTAATTCAAGAAAAAATCAGATATCATAAATTGTACGTTCAGTACACAATAAACAGATAAAATACAGATTTATCTTGAATAGAGAGGAAAGTGGAGTTGTTGCTTATACTTTACATTAGACGGATAATATCAAAATTATCAATAAAGTTCATTGAAAAAAGTATAGAACAAGAAAAGGAACAAGCAAATAAGTTCGGTAGTATTTAAAAAGTATTTGAGCAATAGGTAATGGATAGTTGTATAGAAGAATTGATTTTACTACCTAGTTAAGATTGGATAGCAATTAAAGATTATTCGTATATAAGTAATTCTTGAGAGAATTATGAGACATTTTACAAAAGTATAATTGTGCAGGGGACAACATTAGATAGGTATCGAGTCTTGAGGCTGCCAAAATGTTGAAATCAGTATTATAATTTTTTCACTTGCAAATACAGTAAGATATCTAAGATTCAGAGACACTAATCTTCAGACACTTCGTAATTCGTAAATAGGATGTTAAAACGTATAATAAAGTTCCTTATGAAGCGATACCGAAAGGAAATCACGCGAGGAATGAAAGATAAAACCCTAAAATTAGAACACTTTACAACACCAAGTTAGATAAGATTATGTGCTATTATAAAGATCACATAATTAATCACTAATCATTTACAAGTTTAGTAGAATACATTTTATTTGATGAGAAAATATTATAGAAAAACGTATTTATAAATTTAAACACAGAACATTTAAGAATATTTTAACAAGATTTCAGAAAAATTCAACACCTATAACCAATCTATCAAAAGTCATCTCGAAAAGTTATTAATTGTAAAAAAATAGAAATTACGCGCAGTTAAGTTAGGAATTAAGCATCACAATTCACAGAGCAATGACGAAGCAAAATTTAAGAGTAGAAAAAACATATGAGGAAATAACTACATGGTATCTTGTAGAAGGATACGGAGATGTCATGGTAAAAAAAATAGAAAAAAATGATTCAAGAACATAATAATGATCTCTCAACAATATACCAGATCACCAGGAGAATAATGGAATTATGGATCATTTATACTAATTAGGATTTACTAGATCGAATAGTTTTGAGAAATCGATATTAATTGTGTTTCCTAAAACTTATTCTTAATTTATTTATTTTGAATATTATTATTAATTCATGTTGAAATGTTGTCAATAGATAAATCTCCTACAAAACTTACAAACTTTTTTAATAGAAATATACATAAATAAGTATTATTACTTATACTTAACATACCACATTTGTACATATATCATTTTTGAAACAATAAATAAAAAAAATCATATTAGTTTAAGTTATTTTCTTTTATCACATAAAATAAGGTAACAACAATAGTAATATTTAATACACAGGAGTCGAGTATACCTTGTCAGTAAGTAAAAACTGTTATGAATGGGTTAAATTTGAATTCAATAATACATTATTATATACAATAAAAAACAATTCTGGGTTATTTTCTCAATCACTATCCAATTTTTTGTTAATTGAGATAATCAAATAACTATTATAATAAATTCATGTTTTTTTTCATTTCAAAAGAAAAATCGAAGAATATTTAATTTTATCCTACAAAAAATGCCAACTAGAACCAATTTATAATGAAAAATCACTATTATAATTAATTATCAAAGCGATTTATCTTATAAAAAATCTTTTGACTCAAACAAAAAAAATGTAAAAATCACACATTATAAAATCAGTACATTTTATTATTATACTAAAAATTTAAAATTAAATACATTTTTCTTAAGTATGATTTTTTGTTTTTAAATTAGAAATTTATTAACATTTTCACACAAAATATATGAATTTAATATTAGATTTTAGGTACAAAAAATAATAAACAACAATAAATCTTGATATAATAATTTAATATTAATATAAAGATTAAATATGTTTCCAATTACATCAGTGGCATATAAATACAAGAGTGTACTTAATTGTGAAAAAAAAATGATTATGTATAATTTAAAATAACAAAATAATTAAAAAGAATAAAAATATGTTTATATTAAAAGTCAATCTTATAAATAATTAGCTTAAGTTTATGAAATAAAACATTTTCATCATAAAAAATATCTACATGTAAATGTGCCAGTAAACACCAAATATGATTATCAACAAAATATTCCACAATCAGCTGTTCAATAGAATTTTACATACACAATGATTCAGTTGCTTTAGAAATAAAAAATATAAATATCCCTTCAATAGTCATAAATTAAAAATAATTCATAACAATACATTTCAAAAAAATAACACTGTAGAAACACCTATCAATACAATCATATTTATTTCTTAACACAACTTAAGCTGTCATAAAACTGAGAATAAATTTCTAAAATATTCATAGTCTTTTTATCAATTTATTTTTAACATGATTAATATTTAAAAATATTTAAATTAGCTTAAATTAGAATAATAATATATACATACCAAAATATATCACTACAATTTAATATACAACTTATATTTACTGTGTATCTTTAAATACATTTAAATAATTCAATTATTATAATAGTGGAAGTCAAATAATATTATTTTTAATTTATTTAAACAATAAAAAAAATTGTAATATTTTTTTATTTTATATACAAAAATAAAAGAATTTTAAAGAAAAATAAACTCACTATTAATGGGTCACAGAGATAAAATAAAAATAAAATAATAACTATTTATAAGGCTTAATTATTAAGTTATTTAAGGCAGAATAGCCCAAATAATAACCTCATGATGTAAGAAACATTATGCTAGGATGTTAATACTTAACTTGCTAATGTCAAACATTTAAAATCATTCATGTTGTACCTGAGAAAATATACCAAAATATTAATATTTAACTTGCAAATGTTAAACATTTAAATTTATCTCAAATACATACTTTGTGGTAAACTAAAAGGCCCAACACGAGTGTAAATATCAACAGCTCTTACTGCAAAATGATATTTTTCACCATTTGAAAACTATAAAAAAAACATATAAACATAAGATACAAAATCACTCTCAAAAAAAAAAAAATTGTTTAATATTTACTTGAGTAAGTGAGCAAGCCATGGGTAGAGGAAGAGCATTTACATCACCTATTTTCTTCCACAAGTCAACTTTAGGTGGTTGATTAGGGACCTCTTGATAAGCATAAATCTGATAATTTACTACTTCTGCAATTGTTTTATTCATAGTCATATTCCATGAAAGCACTAGTGCTGTGAAATAAAAATAGAAAACGTAAAAACCTTATTGATATTATTATGAATATTATTACCTTGAGGAATTTGCGATTCTACTGTTTTAGAAAGGCTCACTTTAGGTGCGGGAGGTAATTTTTTCCATGAAGGAAGAGATTTTTGATTTGGAATTCCAGGCACTGGAGCAGGGTGCTGTAAATTTAAACAAATATGCTTTTATAAATAATAATATATGAATACATAATTTTACTTTTATTTTATAATATGAATAAAAATAATAATATAAATTCCATACTTCTAATATTGGTATTGCAGGTGGCGGTGGTCTAGACGATTGAGATCTCATTAAACAATGCTCAGAAGAATTAAGAGGAGGTATTGCATGTATTGATATTGGTAATCGACATGCAGTAAAAGTTGTTCCAGGAGTTGCCTGGGACAATGATCCAGATAAACGAGATACTGGTAAGTGGCACGTTGTATAAGCTGTAGGAGTTATTGGTTTTAATGATCCAGAAAGTTGAGACATAGTAATTTGACGTGGTGTATAAGGCACCGTAGACATTGGTTGTAAGGTTCCAGATATTTGAGATACTGGAACATGCCGTGTAGTATAAGTAACAGTACAAGGCTGAACTAGTACAGGATCAATATGAGAAACTAAAAAAATATTACTAATTATTTAATATTTTAATTCAACATACAATATACTAAAATAGTAGCCTCGATAATTAAAAAAAAAAAACATCCAGTATTATCCTTATTTTTTTAAGTAATAACTAATAATATTAATGAACCCAACTGATTTAGTATAAAAAAAAGTAAATTATTATATTCAAAATTAGGTTTTTAGTTTTTACTAACAATATTTTATTCACTAAAACAAACTGATCCTCTAAGGAAAGTCATGTTCTTAAGTGAATCGTGATAATATTATGTAAAATTGTTTTTTATATTAATAATAATATATTATACATATATGTTTATATACTTACTACAAACAAAAGCTATATGATGTGTATAATTTAAATAAGTAATTGATATTTTCTTCAAAGTATAAGATATAACAAGAATGAATAGAGCTAAATAATTCAATGTAGTAAACTATAACAAATGACTAATATAATAATGTAATCAAACTAACTATAATAAAATATTATAAAAGAGAATTATAAAGCCGATTATAAATTTAATTACAGTGGATCATTGATTATCTGTACTAGTTGGGACTGAGAGAATTGCAGATAATTGATTTGTGTGACAAAACAATGGTAAAATTATACAAGAACATGCATTTAAATGCTTTATACAATTAAAAATGTAATCAATGTATAATACAATAAAATACATAAAAATGTATTATTAAAGAAATGTAATATTATTAATAATAATTTAAAATTTAAAAATATGAAACAAAATTAATATTTTTTTCAAAAATGTTATAGTACGGAAAATTGACACTCTACTATATTTATTTAATTTTAGGAAGTGTAGGAACAAAACAGTTAGCAAAATATTTTTATTTAGGTAAAACTAATTTAGATCATAGTTCAAAATAAAATACATAATGCATTTAAGTAATATTTTTTTTTATAATTTAATCAAAAAATATTCTAGTTTACTTTAATCATCGCAGTTGAGTAATGAATTATTATTGTCAACAACTAGCTTTAAAATAATTAAGATAATAAAAATATTTGAAAAGAATTTATTTTTTAACACTTGGTTGACAGACTATACAACTATACACAACAAATAAAAACTTTGTTGCTACTTACTAATATAACCTATAATCATAGCCATTAAGTATGGAATCATTTGTAAACTATATTCTATTTTTTTTTTTAAAAATAATTCTAATAATCTAAACAATTTAAATTGATTCATTGAATAACTCGACAGAAACAACTATATGCCACATATATTTATCTAATAAATATTAATAATCGATATAAATACTATAAATAAATATTAATAGTTAAGTTAAATTTTAAAAACTTACCATCAATTAGATATGGTTTAAGTTTAGCTTTTGGATCATTTGTAATTATGGTATCTTTATTTAAAACAGTTCGTTGGGGAGAGCCGCTCTGCAATTAATAAAGATTTTAATTATCAAAGAATATAAATATATTATTAACTTACTGAAGTTGTTCTCATTATATAACTCGAGGTAGATGTTGAATGGGTAGGAAGTTCTACATATGTAATAGTTTTAGGTAAATTGTTGTTCTGCAACAATAACCAATAAAATATTTATATATTCTAATAATCTTTATATACAATAATAATTTATTATACATGTTAATGAATGTAAAAATTTATAAGTTATGATGTTATATTATTACAATAAGTTTAATTAAGATTTAATAATTTAAAAGTTAAAAGTAAACCTAAATTATTTTTAGAATTTAAATGTAATTAATAAAAAACTAAGAATTATTCAACAAAATCATATTATTAAAATTAAAATTTAAATGCTGAATCATATAATATAATTTAATAGTAAATTAATTACCAGTTGTACAGGTAAAATCCCGGGACTCTGGCGACGAAGAACTTTATAAGGTGATATTGGTTCCTCCAAATCAATTACATTTGATACATCAATTGCATCATCATTTCCTGTTAGATCTATTGTAGGAGTGCTTGTATCGTTAGAATTCAAAGACTTAGCAGCAGAAACAGTTTTAGAAGGAGATACAACTGGCGATTTCGGCTTAATATTTAAGGAAGGTGTTTGCTATTTTAAGAAAAATAAATAAAATATAGTTTGAAATTAAAAATAAATAATAAATATATTAAAAATGAGCTTAGTTGGTGAAAATTTTAGCTGTCTTCTTTTCCTATGATTTATTTTTATGAAAAACTATAAAATATATATAAAATAAAAAAAAATAACCAAATCAAACTAGATTCGTGAAGTTTTAAAAGTGTATTTAAGAAGCATACAGAATTATAAATCATACTTCTTAAAATACTCTTCAATAAAATGGATATTAAAAAAAAAAACACAATATTTTATTTTTCAAAAACCAATAAATTGTATAAAACTTCTAACAACAAATACAATAGATAATACTTACTATATTGGGTACCTTTTTAGGAGTCAACCTTTCAATTTTTGAAGTTGAGGGTTTAGCGGATTCTTCTGCATTTAATGAATTAACATTATCTTCCTCATCACTAATAATACTTACTGGATTATTATCAGGTTTTGATGGAGAAATCACTAGTTTTGGTAACTTCATACTACCTTCCTACAAATATTAATTCATAATAATTAAAAATATATTTTTATTACATTAACAATTAATTTACTTTTTTTGGACATAATACTGCCTGCAAACCCACAGTTCTTGTAATTATATGTGGTTTAGCATGTTCATTAGTTTTTAAGTCTTGCTTGTGAATATTTACTATAGTCTTAATTTCTTTAAATTGTCTATTTAGTGAACAATATTTTAATCGCCAATGCTTTTCTCTTTCTTTCAACAACTGGAGTTCTGAACGATCTTTACCCCAATACGATCTTTCTGTCATCAATTCAATAATTTTTTGTGTACACAAGCTGTCAAATTGCTAAATAAAAGTAATAACATAAGATTATATGTATTAATTAATATAATAAATAATTTAAATTTAAAAAATGTGAAAATTATCTTACTTCATAGGTCAATTTTTTTTGACTAAACAATTTTAATAATTGTGGAAAACTGTCTTCGGATATCTGATGTACTCCATTTATAATATCATTGATATTATTAGGTAAATCAGGTATATCAGATGATGAAATATCAGAACTGGTATCAGAATCAATAACTTCAAAATCTTCATTACAATTAGTTTTAACATCAACCTCAGTATTATCTTCAGAGTCATTCTCACAAGAATGACTTTCTACGGTTTTAGTTTCTTCTGTATTTTTTATTACATTATCTACATTACTTTCTAATACTGGCGAAAGTTCTATACCATTTTGTTTAGTGTTGACAATATTTTCAATTTCAGATATCTTAGTATTTGAATCATTTAAATTACATTCTGTTACAGTTGAATCATCAACTGTTGCAGATATATTTTCTGTTACTGGAATATCATTGATAACATTTTCATTTTCATTTACTTTTTCAATTTCATTTTCATTTTCTTTTTCATTTTCATTTTCATGATCAAAATTTTCATTGATAACTAAATTTTCCGATGAGGATGAACTATTTAAATCAGAAATACCTTTGCTAGTAGTTATATCATTATTAACTAATTTATTTTTATCACTTTTTTCAGTTTCATCGCCGTTTTCAATAAATTCACAATTATTATTAATATTGCTTGTATCTGTTGTTTTGTTATCAACACCCTTACATTCATCTACACTTAAAGTATTTTTATCAGGAGAATCCTCCTTACAATCTTTATTATCTATATCACTATTACCATTATGGTTAACCGTTTTTAAGGATAGATTTGTTTCATGGTTAAGATTATTGGATATATCATTGGAAGCATCAGATTCTCTATTACCAATTGTATCTTCTAGAGACTCAGTAATTTCATCAACTCTTTGTATCAACAGTTCAATATGATCTTTTCCGTTATCATGGTTGCTAAGAACTTCAAGTTCATCTTCACTTACATCAGCTAGTTTGATTTTTTTTTTATCATTGTCTGCTCCATCTGGCAAAGATCGTTTCAAACCATTTGTTAACTCATTTATTGGTGAAATAGATGTTGATTCATTAGGAACAACATCAGGGAATTCATCTGAAAAACACATATAAAATGTATTTAATAAACTATATTAAATAAAATTTCAAAAATTGTTTGTTTATTACTCCATTGATTTCTTTATTGATCATTTATAACAATACAATGTTTAGTTCAACATGTGACCTATACGCTAATTGACTTGTGAAATCAAATATTATAAGACAATTATTAATAATATATTTTGTTAATTTAAATTATTGTTTTGTTATTGTTCACAGTTGTAATCAAACAAATTTGAGATTGATGACTCTACCTCCAGCAGCCACTGGATAATAAAAAATTGAATATTGTGGCATTCAATAAGTTTCTTTAGAATTATTTAAATCTTACTTTTTCAATAGATTACAAGTTGTTAGAATATGTAAAAATAATATACTTTAAATATCTTGTCACCAAAATTAAAATTTAACTTTTGTGAACTTGATTCAATTCATTATTTTTATGGATTATCTTTAAGAGAAAATGTATATATTTATGTAAATAAACTAATAAACTAATTTTAAAAAACTCATTTTTTAAATTTATATTTTTCAGGTCAAAGTAATATCCTAGTAATATTTTTAATAATTATTACTTTTTTAACTTTAATACTTTGTATAATAAAAAATTATGTCTTATGTTTTATTAAAAAAAATTAATTCAAAACTCTCTATACATTTATGCTTCTAGATACAATATTTCAAGTAGGGTTGTCATCCTTATATACGAATCTTCTACATGGTATTCTGGTTATCTAAGGCACACCCTTGACTCATGTAAACCTGAATTGTGCCCATATTTCTCATTTGAATTTCTAAATTGTAATTAATACTTTATTTTGGGTACAACCATGCAAATTTAAAATTAATATACTATCATGATGAGAATATTTTGATGAAAGGTCAATAGGTATCAAGTATTATGTATTGGTTCATAGTCAGTATTGGTAATATCTGCATAGCTATTACCATATAATTATGTATCAAATTCACTTTCTTGAAAACCTATAATGGCTTAAGTTAAATGCATCAAATGCTGGGAAAATTGACTAAAATTAATCTTAGTTTATACCTAAAAACACATGTAATATTAGTTCTTTATTTTGTTTGTTATCAATTACCAAATATACATTACTCGAACATGTTTATTTAAAAATAAAGATATAAAATAGAGATTTAAGTTTAATATGTAGAATTAAGTGTTTCATATCACAGTGATGTATTAAAATCAAAACTTATGTATCTTTTTTATGCCAAGTATACTTAAGTTTAAGTATTAAAGTATGTAGACACTGAGTAGCTTAAATAAAGTTTATATTACAACAATAATTATTCAATCTCAAATTTTATTTTAACTGACTAACTAATTTAAACTTAAAAATCATGTCATTAAAGCTTAACAATGTAAATAGCTCCTCAAAAATAGTTAAAAAAAAAAAAAAAATTATGCAAGATTAAAAAAAAAATTAAATGTTAAATTAAATTTAACTATAGTATTTATTAAAAGCTTTAGAAGAATTTTGTGATAGTATTGAATTTTTTAAGTACAGAGCCAATGGTCTTGGACTCTTAAGTAAAACGAAAACTTTGAATATTAATTTTATATAAATAACTTATATTGAATAAATAATTTTTAGTGAGAATTAATTTTAACAAAATCAGCTAATATTTTTCTGAACAAATTATGATAAAATGAAAATCAATGTTTTTTTTCTTATCATTGAATTATTTAGTTGAAGAAATTGACTAGAGAAAAAATCTGACTTTGAAAGTCAGAATACGACTCAAATAACTGATCAACTTTTAATATTTTATTTTTTTTAAGTTATAAAAAAATTAATATTATTCTACATTACAATTTATTCCATAGTATGGAAGTTACTTGTTTTTTTATATTTTATTATATAACATAAAAAAATAAAATGTTAAAAGTTGGTTAATTATTAGTGTTGTACTCTGATTTTTAAAGTGAGTTTGAAAATTACAAAAAAAAACGTTTTATGATTTTTCCACAAGCAATTGTTGCACATTAAAAATAGCATATCGAAAATACCTAAATAAAAAGGAATTTACTCACAAGTCATGATGTATTCAAATTTACTTGTTATTAAGACAGCAAATGGCAGTTAAGTAAGTGTTCACCTTACTATTACTAATAACTATAAATTTTTATATTATGGTCGTAAATCTACATCAGTTTGACCATGGTCGGATGTATACACACAGCATATTATAAATATTGTTATTTTAAATATTTAGCATCTGTAAAACTTCTAATATAAATAAAAAGCTTTTTAGACTACATAGAGCCCATTTTAAGTAAGACACACTACAAAGATGAATTCATAGATTTGCCTGAATTGTTCCTAAAATTAAAACTAAATTTAATAAATTTTATCTTGTCTATTTTTCACAAAATCTGTATTTAAAAAATTAATTCATCAGTTTTTAGCAACATTTATATTTATTTTAAACATTACAATGATAGTACAAATTTAATGATTTAATAATATAATAGTTTATAATTAGAGCTGATATCTATATTAATTGTTAGTATATATACTGAAAGTTAATTTATATATTTTTTTTTACTCCTACTCGCACCAGTATTTTGGCTTTAGTAAGTAAACCAACATGTCATATTTGTATAAGTTTAACTATGTTGTATAAAACTTTATTATTGATGGTTAAATAAATAAATAAATTTTTGAAAACAATATTTTAATATTCTAAAGAAATCTGGCATAATTTAATAAGTCATTTTAAGTTCATGCTCAATATTTAGTTGAAATTAATTGAATAGACCAAACAAACAGTGAAAATATAAGCTATTCTAATGTACAATGAAAATATGATAACTTAAGTTATTTTATTAAATATTAGCAATAATATTTACTTAATGTAAATACCTGCCTAATCATCAATACTAATAATAAATATTAATAAATAATAAAATTGTAAGATTAACTAATATTGATCTAATACATATGTAAATGAATCTTTAACTTGTTTATGTTTAAAAAAATATGATACTCAATTTATACTTCTTACATTCTGTTATAGATTAAACAAACATATTTCTGATTGATGCACATATTATTTAAACATTGTCTAAAAATGTATTAGCTTATTTGAGACGCAAGAAAATAATGTAGATATCCATTTAATAATAATAATAATATATAGGTACATATCTAAAAAAAATAGTAAGATATTATTAATGAATCGTTTAAAAATACCTATACTGATAAGAAAATATATTTCTGTAACATAATTAGGCACCTATTTAATAGTAGAAACATTCTGATAGTCAATTAGACAAATATCAAAATATAAATTTATTACAAGTTTATAAGTCTTTAATTAACACTATAAAAATAAAATTTAAAGCATTATTGTTCTAATATTCATTCGATAATAATAGGATGTTAAACAATCAATACAAGTCTAAATTTATTCAGTATTCGTGTAAACATGGTTTAACTATTATCGATCCATTGTAATCTATTAGAAACTAACAATACTTGTATGGTAAGCAAACATTTCAAAATAATAAGATACTGTACTGTGAATATATACATCTCTTTCTCAAACATACACACACACACACACACACACACACACACTATCTATCTATCTATCATTATGATTTTCTGTCTAGCAAGTGCTTAGTTCAAATCACGATTGATTAAACAATAAGAAACAATCAGTATGGACTTACTATTAGACAAGTCAGGTTTCGACTGTTTCAGTGAATCCTTCTCAACAGCAGAAACCTGGTTTTCTGTCATTTCATTAATTGTCTCACCAGGCATCTTATGTAAAACAGCCAGTACATCAAACGTAAAAATCACTAGTTGCGACCAGTGTTTGATGATAGATACGAATATGATTTAGACAATACTGACACATCCGATGAGAATATCGAAGCGGCTGGAAGGTCCACAGATGAGACGCCGTCGCGATCAGTTTATGCCGTTATGCGATACATACACAATTACACAACCGAGTAACCGACCTCAAAAGTAGATGCGTATCGTTGTTTGAGTTTTGTCTGATATGTTTAACTTCCCCTTATTTCACTGTGTCCGAACGACGACGACGAATGGGGTAACGACGTTGACAGGAATTTCTTTCAGATCTTGGTATGTTGGGTGTCTACTGCTGTGTTACCAATCGTATTAATTGTACTCTCGAAGTAAAACTTTTAACGCCAGACGTCGAACAAACAGCTGAACAGTGTACTGTGCACCGAGTTCACAGTGAATAACGTGTTTAAAAAACAGTAAGTTAAGAACGAGCCAATGAGAAACACACGTTCACAATGCGCTTATCAACGAGCTAGTCTGTTTTGTGCGGTGTTGCCGCTCTTGCAGCGTCGTGACCCGTCGGAGGTCGTCGCTGCGCAGCAGATGTTATTTGCTTGAAACGAACAATATTCTACAATCGTTACATTACGCCCGATTGTTTGGTCCGTGAACAATTGGCAAACGCGCACAACCCAAACTCATCGACGATCAACCAATCCGAAAAGCGATCGGCTTGTTAACTTGGACGTATAACAAGCCACGATGTTACGATTTTACGAATTTGAGATGTGTGAGTGATGACAAAGGAATATTAAATGCTAAATACTGGATCAACTATACACGCTGACGAAATCCAACATAAATGATTTTTGTTAAAATGCTCCAAAAAATCATACGTTAAGCATAATTACTTATTACTTTAGGCCTAGCTAGCGCCCTCATTAGATTATAGTTGCACTATTGATTTTTCATCGAATTTTTTAAATCAATGATTAACAAACAGCCGTGATTTCTTAGGTCATTTAGAATTTTCAAAAGTCAATCCTCTACTTGTTTTAAACAGAAACTTTAATCTATGATAATATTTTCAAAGCATTTTATAATTTTAAATTAACTAAATTTTTGTTTTTTTACAGAATTCGTATCATCAACTTGATTACATTTCTAATTTCATGTTCTCATCATTAATCTTATACAGCATAGCTGATTTAATATTTAAATAAATATATTTATAAAACATACTTATAATGTAATTTAGCTTTTAAAAGTAATGAATATATAACAAGCAATAATATGGAAAAACTCAACAATATTTATTTAAAAACTCGTTCGTCCAAACCAGTGCGAAAAAAATGCACCTATGCTTACACTATATCACTGATGGTTGATATAGTTAAATTATCCCGGTAAAGAAAATTCTACATTGATTAAGATCAAAGAATTTTCAGAACATAAGCATTTGATTTCATGTAATCTATGTATTTAAATTCGAAGATTTAAAATCAATTGCATCATAACCTATTTATTGGATATTTTAAACATCCGCACTAAGTACTAACTATAATTACTGAATTTAAATTGTAAGGAAAAACAGTTAAAGGCAGTTGTAGCTAAATTGATATATTTATAGGGTGTATAAGGATTATATTACAATATTTCGTGAATGGTGATGGATATTTTATAAATCGATTACTCAATTACAGCCTACAAATAAAAAAAATGAGTAACAGATCAACTGAAATAATAAATTATATTTTGTTATAATATGTCATTTATTCTGAAAAAAAAAAATTTTATTATACTTTACTCATTATAGTCATTGGATCTCGATCTATAGCTAAAATATTGTTTTAAATGTTATTACCCATTGGCCGAAATCCTATCATTATAATAAATGCAGAAAACACTTTAATTTTAAGTACATTAGCCAAAAATGTTTTCTTTATTATCAAGACAATATGAATAATTCAGTTAAAATCTTATAATATCTAACATATTAAGTGATATTAATGTATAATTTTGGCCGTATTTTTAACTTATATTGAAGTATAGTTGAGACTTATAATTAGGTCTACGAAACAAATAAGCTAACGAAGCTGAAACTTCAAACATGTAAATAGTATCAAAGAATGATTTTCAGGATAGAATAAAAGAGTTAAAGTGGATTGTTAGAATTATTTGTGTGCATGGATTCCTTGAATCATGATTATTTACATACGAGTATATGACAGTTATATATGCTTGTAATATTATATACCAACTAGCAACTAGGTACAAATCTCAATTAATAAATATAGATAGGAAAACAGTTATTGGTAGTATATCCTGTTTTCGCAACTATTGAGTACTAATGAATTGCGGTAAAATAAAGACGGCAATTAAGCCATTAGAAACATTAATATCCGGATGATAAAAATTCTTCAGATAATTTTTATGGACAGTAGAATTAATTAATATACATTAGTAAAGTCTATTTTACCAAACCAATTTCCAATTAACTTATTATTTATATTTTGCTTTGTAGACATTTCTTTATAATTTTATAATTTCATCAAATATCTATGATTAATAACAATACACCATACTCTGTAGACTTTTCGATACCATTTTATCTGAATTGTTTGTTTAATTTGACAAAATGACAATAACTGAGAAAAAAATCAACATTATAGCTCCTTAAAAGTTGACAATGTTTAGGTATAATATTTACTAAACTTTTTTCGGATCATGTCCGACAAATATTTTTTTTAGATGAAGCACTTAATAATTTATTTAAAATTAAATGTTCATGTGCTCTGCCCTAAAATACAATTTTTAGCCACTTAATTATTAAAATTTATTCTTTGGTAGCAACGTAATAACTAACGAGTAACAACACTAACAACTAATAATTATTGTATTTTTACTATACATATTTTCATTTAATAATACTATAATATACGCAATACGTTGTATGGCGTATGTATATACTCTACGATAAGAAAGAAAGAAAAATTAAAAATGTCCATAGTCCATTTATTGATTGTACTATAATTTTATTCTATTTTATGATCGTAAAATACATGAATCTTTTTTATGTTTATAAGAGTGTGCCAGAGGCCGGACAATCCGATAAAACAAATAATATCTGTAGGCTATGCCATTCATGATAAAAATATTATTACTACATAAAATTTTGAAATTTTAAATATTGCTGTTAAAATATACGTATCTAAAAATTTTAAATTATTAAAATAATAGCATGTTAACTGTTAAAATCGTTAAAATACAATGTATGGTTCGTCAATATTTGAAATAATTTGAGTAGTAACAGGCAACTTTATCGATTGATATAAGTACGACATATTAAATGACATGCTCAAAATCTATGATCGTCTTACTTTCGTATGCTCTGAACTAATGGCCGTCCTAAATCAATTGGATTAGCGCAGTTAGCTTTAATGAGTACAATGGGCAATGGCATACGCCTGTCAGTTGTATATTACTATATTAGTGGATTAAACATTTAACGAAAGTATCTTGAGATATTTTTAAATACTGCAGTGCAATTCAATTTAAGGAAAACTATCAGCAGTTGACTTAGTAACCAACTAGTTATTATATACATTCTAATACTGTTGCCTGTTTCATTTAAAAAGTAAGTTAGAAGTCAAGCGATTAGGTACATTAGGATGCAACACACAGTTGTTGGTCGAAAAACATTTATTATTAATTCAAGACAAATAAAACTCGGGCATGTTACGGTCGCTTAATATATAAAAAACTAAACGAGTATATTTCCCATTTAACCGGAAATTTAGATTATATGGTTGGAATAATAACTAAAATATAGTAATGATATTAAATAATTAACATAATGACATTTGAACTACAAAGTGATAACAGAACTTTAATACAATAATCTATAGTAATTAATACCAATATTGGTAAGACTATGGAGAAAAAAAATAATTGTTTATACGGTGTACATATTACATTATTACAGAATATTACTCACTCATTGGTAAATTATCTGGCTCTGGCTTAATTATTGGTACTCGCTTTGGTGGCCTTCCCTGAAAACAGCACACAAAAATAGTACAGTTAAATAATGAAATATAATATAAATAATAACACATCATTTATTTCCACAGCAAAATCGTACTAAATATTAGTTTTTACTGCAATTTTCTAAGAGATTTAAATTTATATTAAAAATAATTATTATGTTTTTTTTTATTAAATCTGATATTACATTAACATAAAATTGGAACAAGCCATATATTTTTGACAAATAAATTTTTTTTTAAATTACTTTTAAAATTTTAAAGCTAAATAGATTTATAACTTATAAGTGAATACAGTTATGGGTACATATGTATTTATTTTTTATAAATTATAATTACGACTGATAAAAACTAAAAAATAATTCCAATTTTATCAAAATTCTATGTTAACTATATCTAACAAATTAGAACATTTAAATTAATTTTCACTTATTATTATAAGTTGCATTTATTTCTTTAAATCTATGAATTTAATACCAAATTTGATGGGTCATGTTGAAATGGAATTCATACCAGACCATATTGTGTGTGGTTTAGTAAGACACAAACTAAACTAGAACTGTCAAAATGGCATAGTATAGCAAAACACTTAAAAGATTTTTTTTTGTTTTGGTTTGGAGACCCAGTGAGAAGAATAGATGAAAATCATCATATATTTAAAAAATGTTTAGTGAAAAAAAAATGATAAGAATATTGTTAGTTTTCTTCGTTTTTTATTGTTGTTTAATAAAATATTAAAAAACTTATATTGAAACTATAATGCAATAGAATGAATTTATACTATAAATTATAAACATATTTAGTGAGAATATCATAGTTATTAAATGTTAAAACCTATATGAAGAATATAACTTGGAACAGACTTAATTGGATGATATTACTTGAGTATACATAACATCAATGTAGGAGAAGTTGGTATAAAAAAAAAAATAATTGATTAAATTGAGTCTGTTGAAAGAGGAAGCTTAACAATTAAATAACAAGTGACGGAAATCACAAGATTTAATACTATAACTAGAGAAAATTGGTAAATGATTATTATTAATATATTTTATTTTAATTTAATAGATTTATAAGGCATAACTATTCAATACTTTGTTAAATGTCTAGGCACTAATTAATATAGAAAAAAATGTTATGGTTAACAAAGTAGGGTTACATTAAGTTTATTTTAAGTATATATAGGTAAATGATTGTATCAAATTTCAACAAATAGGCTCAACAAAGTAAATAAGAATCTTATAACATCAATAATAAATTATAGAATCAAAAATAATAATAATAAAAATAATTATGTAGTTTAAATCACTTACACTCTCTGGATAATAAACTTAACATAAATGATAACCTTGAAATAAAATTTAAATGACCTATCGAGAAGTAAATACACCAGTGATAAGATCCGGATAAACCCCGATATCACAAACTAGTTTTATGCCAATAATCGAGAGTCCAGAACTCAAAAATG